GATTTCTTTCTGTGCAGGAGTTTTTGTGTTCTTGCTTCTTTTCCAGTGTCTCAGTAGCCTCTGGCTTCCTGTCCCCGTGGTGCCTTGGGGATTCCCTGTGTGGTGGGCCTCTTCTGTCCTCAGGCAGCAATCAGGTGCTGCAGTTGTAGATTGTGTTGGGGCCAGGGAACCTTTTGACTCCATGTTCGGTTTTTGTTTTGTTTTGTGGTTCTTTCAAGGCTCTGTCTTTCCACCCCCTTTTCTTCCTTTTTCCTTTACTGCTCAGCTTCCTGGGTTGCTGCTTCCTGCTTTTTATTGTTTTTCCTCCAGAATTGCTGTCCCAGATTGTACTCTTTTAAAGCCACCAACTTTGAATCACAAGCACTTGGATGGCTGGATGGTTGCCCAGTGTCTCAGTGCTAACATTTCCTAGTTGTGTCCTGGAATCTGTCCCCCCTTTTTATCCTGGGCCCCAGCTCTCTGCTCATCCCAAGGGGTATCAGGTATCAGGTCCCAAGGGAGCTGGTACTGTCTCCTTCCTTACAGCTTCTAGTTGTCACACTGTCTCAGGCTGCACCCCACCTGTGCCCTCGGTTATTTCTGTTTGCATGTGGTAACTGTATATTATGTACACAATATGTTCTAGGCATATGTATATATGTGTGTATATATATATATATACATATATATATATATATGTATATGCATGAATCAGGGGCAGGCCACAGGGGTCAGGTTATTGCAGGCACGGCAGGACTTCACTGGAGTGAGTGTGTGCTGGTGTGCAGGCTTTGAAGCTCCCCACCCAGCCTGAAGGGACTGTGGAGGGGCAGAGGTCACCAGGGCTGTCTTGGAACCAGTCGGGGAGAGTAGCAGAAGGATTCAAGCTGCAGGTGGACAGCTCTGGGACTTGGGCATCTGGTAAGGCATGGCATTCAAGGTGGGGCTACGGCTACATGTAAGATGCTCTATTGCTTGGGCCCAGCAGCAGTTGGCAAATTTTTGTCCAAGTTTTGGGGTTCTCAGGCTCAGTTTACTCACCTCGGGGCTGTGTTCCCATAATTCCTTTAAGTTCCCTTTGGCCCTTGGTGTGTGGCACCCAGATCTGGCTGCTGAGGCTCGTAGCTCTCAGCGTGGAGAGTTGGATGCCTGGTGAGGTCCATGCCGAGGAGCCTGCGCCTGAGGGGAGGGGAGGGGGGGAGGGAAGAGCAGCCTGGCCTGCAGGAGGCCACCCAGAAGCCCTGTGTTACAGGAAGGAGGGAGCCAACCGATGAACGGGACCTGGGCCAGGAGTTTAGTCTTCATTCCTCCAGAAAATGTGCCGGTTGCGGCCAAAAGATCATTCCAGAGGAGAAACTCTGCTGGAGGGGCTCACAGGGGAATGAATAGAAGGTTCTGGAAGAGAAGGTGCAGTGGCAGTAGTTCAGGGGGGTCTGTTCTGCCAACCCCAGGGCAGGTGTGTTGCCGACAGCAGGGACAGACCCCCGACCATGGAGACCAGCAAGGCTGGACTTGGGCCTGGGGAGATATAGGCAGAGTGTGTACCAGTAGGGATCGGCTGGCCCCGGGAGGGCGGGCAGGTTTCTAACATAATGCTGGAGACTACCCTGGGGCGGGCAGGACAGGTTTCTGGGGACTGGGCCTACCCCAGGGAGGGCGGGACAAGGTTGGACCACAGCCTCTGCTGTTTGTGTGAGCTCTTGGCTGCTGTGGTCCAGACGCCCTCCAGTGGCAGCTTTTGTTCACGTCCAAGTCTTATTCACTCTGTGGTCAGGGCTACCTCGGGCTCACTGGATATATTCTTTGTCTACAGTGCCAATGAAGTGGACATGTAGGCCAGACACTGCTTTGAAGGCTCCTGGGGGGTGGGTGGGGAGGACAGGGGAGAGGAGGGAGGCAGGGCATGTGCTGACTAGATGGACATGGCCTAGGAAGGCCACTTATTCGGTGGAATAATCCATACTAGGGAGGGCTGACTCCAGGGCTTGTGGACAGTGTTGGGCCAGGCTGAGTGGGCCCATCTGCAGAGGACATGGGTCTTAGGGGAGGGCTGGACAGACCAAGGAGGAGAGAGATGCGGTCCTCACACATGCAAGAACATTTAGTTTGTTCCAAGCACTTTGTGACACTGTGGTCTCCAAAGGCTGTAGTACCAGACCCCGTCTAGATGACTTCGAGCCTAGCACCTGGCCTGGCAACCGGAAGGGGCTTACCACTTCTGGATGCGGGTGTTAAGCATGGCCATGGAGAGTAAGAGACCTCTAGTCAGGACTTGAGATGTGGTGCTGAGTGGGGCTGTGAGAGGTGTCAGGGGGCAGATGTTGTCTCCCTGCAAATGCATGGACACACGTGGCCAGCCCTACCCAGGGTTCTGGAGTGCTTTGTTTGCTAGTTTCCTAGCCCAAATGTGGTTGGTTACTGGATACTAGCTGATGCCACTACGCAAGGCCACCCGGAGTCCTGTGACATGGCACCACTGCAGAAATCCTTGGGAGGGCTTTGTAATGAAACAGGTAAAGCTGCGGTAAGAAAGGTGCTTCCCTGAATCTCTGCTCTTGTGCTTCCTGCATGGAATGAAGATGTGAGACTGGAGGTTTGGCAGCCACTTTTCAGTCTTTAGCTTGACACCTGGTCTAAAGGCAGCAGAGCAGAGCAGTGAAGCAGCAGGTCCCTTGAGGTCATTCAAGAGCAGAGTGCCATCTCCAACGGCCTTGTGCGTCTTGTGGGGAGGAAGCCCCCCCTCCCCCGCCCTGTCTAACTGAGCCGCTGGCTCTGCTTCTGGTTTTCTGTTGTCAGCCAGACATACAGTCCTAACTCACATATGTGGCCATTTTTCTCTGAGACTTTCACGTATAGCTCCTGCTGTATTTTATTCATCCTGGTAGAGGTCTTCCCAGTTGCCCAGGAGTGCGTGCTCCATGGGCTCCTCAGAGCAGGGTGCCCAGGCTTGGGCTCAGCATAAAGTGCCTTGAAGATGTGCTCGGTTCTCCATGGGCCTGCTCATGGGCGTGCATGCTGGAGGTGCTCATGCCAGCTCCCTGAACATGGGATCGTGGCCCGCAGAGGCCTCAGCAGGTAAAGGCCTGGAGAGAGCTGCAGCTGCAGCAGAGGTGGAGTTGGTAGTCTTGGCATAAATTCCTCCTAGCATGAACAGAAAACATAACAGGTCAGAACAAGCAGCAGACCAACTCCAGCTGCCGGTGAGGCACAGCGGAAGAGCGAAGTGTCGTTGCTCTGGGCCTATGCCATGGACCCCTCAGGCCCGCCCATGTGGCTCTCAGAGCCGTGGCCTTGTGTGATGGCTTTCCCCATTTTATGGGTGGGAGGTGGGGTGGGGAGAGACAGAGGCTGTGTCAGACACAGCAGGTTTGGTGGGAAACCACAGGCAGGGATGAAGCCTTTGGGTCCTCCCCTTCCTGGGCAGCACAGGCCATACTGACTCCAAGCTAGGGTCTGTAGCCTGGGCTACCTTTGGCCAGTGACTTCCTGAGGGCCTGTCTTCAGGGCATCCTCTGGGCTCAGTTTTCTGGAGCAGGGAGCCCTGGTTGGGTCTTTAGCAGTCTACTGACCTCCAGCCACTTTCCCTTCTTGAATACTGAATGGCAGGAGGCCAGTAGGCCAGTGCAGTCCTCTAACCAGCATGGGGGGGAGGGAGAGGGGTCCCTGCAGCTGAGCCTGAGTACAGTCCTCTAGCCAGCATGCCGGGGTGGGATGAGGGAGAGGGGTCCCTGCAGCTGAGCCTGAGTACAGTCTCTAACCAACATGGGGGGGTGGGGGGGCCCCTGCAGCTGAGCCTGGTGAAGCGGAGCCCACACAGCCGCTCTGGCCCCTTGCTGGCAGTGAGCACCAGGGTTGCAGCCCTGTGACCGTATCAGCGGCCGCAGCAGTGCAGACACAGTGTCGAGTGACCTGGTCCTCAGCTCGGGAATCTGTATCCTTGCACTGCCACATGCTCACGCATACGCTCGCCTTCGCACCTGTACACGCGCACTCACAGGCACTGGATCACACCTGTACCCTGCAGTACACACAGGCCCACACTCAGGTGCACATTCACATTTGCACCGTCACACACATGCTCTCACACATGAACACAACGCACACAGTTGTACTCGTGCACACATGTGCTTACACACACACAGGTTCATGCAGATGCTCACCTTCACACACAGCACTTACATTTGTACCCTTGCATGTGTGTTTACACTTGCCCACATGCTCATGTACACATTCATAATTGCGCTTTCACACAGATGTGGACACATTAATACACAGTGCTCACATTTGTACTCTTGCACACATGTATTTGCATACACACAACTTTGCACACTTGCTCTCATACATGCTCTTGCTCACATGCACACTCATGTTCATCTTTGCACATGTGCTTACACGCTCATGCCACACTCACGCTGGGGCCCTGGCATGCATGTGCTTATGCCCATGTGTACTCATATCCACATCATGGTGCACACCTGCTTACACATTTACATAGACATGACACATATGCCCTAGCACAGCATGTCTACACAGAAGCATTCACACATGTACACATGTACAGATTGCACACACACACTTGTGGCCACACTCATTCATGTGCATGTCTGGCTTTGCCTCCTTGTGCAGGAACACACGCTCAAGTGTTAAAGGTGGTGTCTTCCTAGAATACTGTCCTTTGTTTGTATTGGGGAGCTTTCTAGATGCTCTGAAGACATCAAATACTGCCTCTTTGTAATTAGAGAAAGGGGCCCTTAAGTTACTTGTGGAGGTTCTAAGAAATTCTGAATCTTTTTTAAAGAAACTTTTAGTAGCAGAAACATGAGAAAACATTGGAAATAAAATAGCTATAAGCATAAAAGTATCTGATTCCTAGGATCTGTTAAGAACCGATGGTCACTGATGTGTGGCTTTCATCCTTGAAACATACATGTACACACACTCACCTGCCAAGGTCCTGGATGAGGTTGCCCATGGAGCTGTCTGGTGGTTCTATACCTGACACCCTGTGCTTTCCTTCTCAGGTCCTGCATGTGCATAAGCCGCACTTCATGGCCTTACACTGCCAGGAGTTTGGAGGGAAGAACTATGAAGCCTCTATGTCCCATGTGGACAAGTTTGTCAAGTAAGTCTTGGGCAGAAGCCTGTGGGTGGCTATAGTGTGGGCTGTGGACGAGTGTGGGACTCTGGGTCACCCAGGGAGAGCCGCTGTTTTCCATGGAGAGAGAGTATGGCTCAGATGTGCGGCAGCCACTCACCTCCAGAGGGGACATGGGCTGTGGGACCAGGGCAGTATAGATCCTGTGAGAGCATGCTGAGGTATGTCTGAATGGCCGGATACTCCTAGCCTGCTGCTGTGGGGGTGGACCATGGGCAGGGTTGCTTTCCACATGGCTGCCTCTATTCAATGCAATCACCATGGAGCAGAGCTGTGAGGAGCTGCGGTGCAGCATCCCCACCCTGAGCTCCTCAAGCTTTATGAGGAGCTTCCAGGCCAACATATGGCAAGGTTTCCCGAGATAAGTATGATTTTAGAGAATTGTAACGGAAGGTAAAGGTGTTTTTCCTACCACTCAGTGGTGAATACTGAAATTGCTATGTAGAAGCAGAAGGTAAAGCATGGCTAAAACTGTCCTGGAGCTCCTGCCACCAGGCCTTGGGCTCTCGTCAAGCAGTGGCAGAGCTGGTGTGGGCAGATGTGCAGGCGGGCGCTTGCTTCTTAAGGGTGCAGCATGAGGTGCTGGGAGCTGAGCAGGCTGCGTCTCTGTGTTGGGAAGCGTAGAGTTGTTTCTGGCTTCATTTCCGGCTTCATGTCATGGCTGTTGCACCCCAGGCCTGTCAGACTCCACCTGCATCAGAGTAAGATACAGGAGAAGATTTTCATAGATTTGGGATAGGAAAATAATTCCTTTCAAAAGATACAGAAAGTACAGTGTTGAAGGGTCAGTTCTAATATATGCAGTGCTATAGAAAGCACTCTACACAACGGCTGACCTAAGTTACACTGAGGGGCTTCCCTGCAGCTCACATCACAGACAGAAATCAGTGTGCCTAGGCCAGGAGGCCTAGCAGTCGACAAGAAGAGGAAAAACTTTAGTAATCAAAACAGCTTGGTACTGGCACAAGAAGAGACCTCAGGACCAATGGAATAGAATTGAAAACCCAGAAATGAATCCACAGACCTATAGCCATCTAATCTTTGATAAGGGAGCTAAAAAAATAGAATGGAAGAAAGACAGCCTCTTCAGTAAATGGTGCTGGCAAAACTGATTAATCACTTGTAGAAAACTAAAGCTAGATCCTTATATATCACCCTGCATCAGAATCAACTCCAAATGGATTAAACACCTTGGAGACAAAGTAGACACCCTGAAGCCATTACAGGATGGAATAGGAGAAACTCTAGGTCTCCTTGGCACAGGCCGAAATTTTCTTAATAGAGACCCGGAAACACAACAAATCAAAGAAAGGTTGGACTAATGGGATTGCATGAAGCTGCAGAGCTTCTGCACGGCAAAGGACATAGCTAGCAAGATCAATAGAAAGCCCACGGTTTGGGAGAAGATCTTCACTAGCCATACAATGGACAAGGGTCTTATATAAAATATACCTGGAACTCAAAAAATTAAATCCCCCAACAACAAATCTTCAAAGAAACAACTGTCCAATAAATAAATGGGCTAAAGACTTAAAGAGAAACTTCTCTGAAGAGGAAAGAAGGATGGCCAATAGACACATGAAGAAATGCTCAACCTCTCTAGCCATAAAAGAAATGCAAATTAAAACAACATTGAGATACCACCTCACCCCAGTTAGAATGGCTATAATCAAGAACTCTAATAATAGGGCTGGGAAGGTGGTTCAGTGGTAGAGCACTTGCCTTACATGCCTGAGGCCCTGGGTTCGATTCCTCAGCACCACTTAAGCAAAAAAAAAAAAAAAAGCCGGAAGTGGCGCTGTGACTCAAGTGGTAGAGCACTAGCCTTGAGCTGAAGAGCTGAGGGACAGTGCCCAGGCCCAGAGTTCAGGCCCCACGACTAGACCCCCCCCCCCAAAAAAAAAAAAGAACTCTAATAACAACAGATGCTGGAGGAGATGTGTATAGAAGGGAACCCTACTGCATTGTTGGTGGGAGTGTAAATTTGTTCAACCACTTTGGAAAGTAGTATGGAGGTTCCTCAAAAGACTCCACATAGAGCTCCCCTATGACCCAGCAATCCCACTTTTGGGCATTTATCCAAATGATCACAAACAAGGCCATACTAAAGCTACCAGCACAACTATGTTTATTGCAGCATTATTTACCATAGCTAAGAATGGAACCAACCCAGATGCCCCTCAGTAGATGAATGGATCAAGAAAATGTGGTATATATATACACAATGGAATTCTATGCCTCCATCAGAAAGAATGACATTTCCCCATTTGTTAGGAAATGGAAAGACTTGGAAAAAATTATATTAAGTAAGCCAGGCCCACAGAAACATAGGTCCCATGATTTCCCTTATTTGCAATAACTAGTATATGTCTGAGACAAGCAGAAAAGGTCAAATAAGATGATGTTAAGCGAAATGAACCCCAAGATAAGGACACAAGTGTTTTTTTTTTTTTTTTCCCTTGCTATTGTTTCTAACGTATTTGTAAGATATCATGTGATTTTTTGTTGCTTTGTATGTCCCTCCCCCATGGTATACACAACCTCTGTTTTCACTGTATTTGATGTTGGTATAATTTGGGGAGCAGAAGGGAAAAAACAAATTGTTTAATGAGATGTACAAGATACTATGTCAAAAAATGAACTTTACAATTTAGGCGGGGGCAGGGGGGAAGGGGAAGGGTAGTGTAGTTCTAGAGGTGGGAGGGTAGGGGAAAAACAAAGGAGGCAACAATGCTTGATAAGAAATGTACTCATTACCTTGCTCATGTAATTGTAACCCCTCTGTACAGCATTTTCAAAATAAAAAATTTACTTAAAAAAAAAAGAAAAGGAAAGACTTGTCCTGGAGGACTGGGCATCTTGTGCCAGGGAGAAATGCAGGGAACATGAGCACGTTGGCATCTGGTGCCGTCGAAGGGTCCCCACCTCCTCTGCCTGGCTCCACTTAGCCGTCACTTGGGAGGCGCTGGTGCAGGGCCACTGTCACCCCTGGGTGCGCTTTCCGTGTTCTTGGCTTCTATGGCTTCCATTTTTATCTGGGTCATTTTCCTTCAGCTGAAGAGCATTCTTTAGTGTTTAGATTAGCACAAGTCAGCTGCTGCTGATTCTCTCAGCTTTTGTTGTTCTGAAAAGGTCTTTGTCCTCTTTTTTGAAAGCACGTTTGTTGGGGATGAATTCCCGCTTGTCATTTCTGGCTCACTTCTTCAAGGGTGCCATTTCGTTGTCTTCTGACTGTGTTGTTTCTGACCAGAATTTGCCTATTGTCCTCATCTCAATTTTCTTGTATATGATGTGCTTTTTCCTGGCTGCTAGATTTTGTCTTGTTTATAGCTTGTTTGCAGGATTTTGATTGTGTTGTACTTAGGTTTGATTTTCTTTATGCTCAATCAGATTTGGGAACCGTTTATCCATCATTTCTTTGAATACTACTCCCCTCCCTTCCTCCTTTCCTCAGACTTGGTACACCAATGTTGCCACAGCCCCAGCTCTGCTCTGCCCTGTCTCCCTCGAGGTGGAGGTTTGGTGTTCCAAGTCCACCCAGTGAACTTGCTTTACTTTGGAGACGCTGGTCCTCAGTGCCTGAATTTCCATGGTGTCTTTTAGGTTTTCTGCTTCTCTTCATTGTGCTCATGTTTTACTTTAAGAGTGATGGTTTTCATGCAGTCCATCACTTTTGTCCTTTTTGGTCTGGATGTGTGGACAGCTTGTTTTGGAAGTGTTATGTCAGGTTTGTGTACATGTCACGTGACTGGTGTGATGTCAGCTGTGACCTGGCGCTCCTGTGGTGTCCCGAGCACACTGGTCTGTGTTTGCCAGCAGCCAGGTTAGCCAGAGGTCAGTGGAAATCTGTCAGAGCTCACAGCCCTGACTGCTTTTTGTGAATCATTTGTGTTTCTTTTTAAAAAAAAAATTCAAATAAACTTTTAATGTTTAATAACTCAAAGATTTGGTCTGAATTTATGAATAGATAGATGTAGTTTGTCTCAATGGGCAATTCCTTTCTGTATATTCTTAGCATTTCTACTTTTAATAGTCCTTGTTTCATGTTTTTGCTGTCATTTTCCTAGAATACCTGGTTTATGTTTTAACTTTGAGCTATTAAAATTATCAAATATATACAAAAGTAAATAGAATAGTATAATGAGTCCCATTACTTATCACTGAGCTTAAACAATGATCAGCTGTCCATATCTACAGATCCCATGACCAAGGATTCAACCAACTACAGGTCAAAATTCAAAAGAAAACAGTGTTTAAATGCAAACTGGTCCTTTTACTTTCTTGGTAGTGTCCTTTGATGCTAAAAAGTTTCAGTTTTGATGATGTTAAATAAATGTTTTTTCTTTTGTTACTTGTGCTTTTAGTGTTTTGTCTCAAAAATAATCACCTATTGCAACATCACAAAATTATGTCTATGCTTTCTGCCATGAATTTTATTTATAGTTTTAGCATTTCCATTCAGATATTGTTACCTAATTTTTGTATGTGATACGAGTTACAAGTCCCAATTCATTATTTTACATACAACTATTCACTTATCCATTTTTTTAGCCAAGGTTTGCTATTTAGCCAATTGCTATTTTATTGAATACATTTTCTATACCTTTAGCTTGCATTTCTTCTTCTATGCCCATCATTCATGGATTTGGTCTTTTATAAGATTTTTTTTTTTTTTTTTTGGTCCGGTCGTGGGGCCTGAACTCTGGGCCTGGGCGCTGTCCCTCAGCTCTTCAGCTCAAAGCTGGCGCTCTACCACTTGAGCCACAGTTGCCACTTCTGGCTTTTTTCTTTTTGCTTATGTGGTGCTGAGGAATTGAACCCAGGGCCTCATGCATGCAAGGCAAGTGCTCTACCACTGAGCCACCTTCCCAGCCCCAGATTTGGTATTTTAAAATGATGTCTTATCTTTGTCTTTTTCACTCAAGGCTGGTGTTCTGCCACTTGAACCACAGTTCTATGTCCAGCTTTTTCTGGATAAGAGTCTCACTGACTTTTCTGCACAGGCTAGCTTTAAATTTCAATTCTCAGATCTCAGCTCTTAAGTAGCCAGGATTGTAAGTATGAGCCACCAACCACCCAGGTTTTATTCAGGCATTTATTTCTATCTTTTTAAATTTCTTTGATTATTCTTATTTTTGTTCTGTTGAAATTGTTGTCTGAGATCTTATCCACTTAACTGTCTTTGAGTCCTTTATTGTGAGATTGTTGACTGTGGGGAGGAATGAATATTGTCTTTGTTCTTTTTTTGCATTTCTTGTGTTTCAGTGTTTGTATCTGATGCCAAGTCACTGGTTGGAGGTTTTACTCAGTGCTGTTTCCTTGGCTTTAGTTGTCTTCTTCAGGTAGTCATCTGTGTTTCTTACTGAGGACCCTTCCCCTGATACATGTGTTGCTAGGTTGGGGCATTGTGCCACGTAGGAGGGCAGCCCCTTGTCTCTGGGCATGTAGTTCTTCTTCTCCACGGCTGATGGCGAAGTGCCTGCTGTGGCTTTAGACGGGGGCAGTGAGAAGGGGAGAGAGGGCTGCAAGCCCGTGCTGACGGGTACTCACAGGCCAGGGGACTCTCGGAGAACAGCCTGGATCAGGGTGGGTTGGTGGGCAATGGCGCCACCTGTGCAGATCCTACTTTGTTAGGTCCAGCGAGAGCAGCCAACAGACCCTACATGGCCCTGGTACATGGCCCTGTGTGAGTTCTAGGTGCCTTCATCCCTGGGAGGTTGTAGAACTAGACAGCTATGGGGCTGTGCGGGCTGAGTGGGACCTGGGCCGAGTGTCTCCCTCTTTCTGAACTGAAAACATGCTATGGGCCTCCATTTCTGCCCTCTTCCCACCCTCCTCTCTCCCCTCTCTTCCCACCTTGCCCCATTGTGGGGGGGGGGTGGATACCTGACCACCTCCTTGGCCTCCAGGGGTCCTGTGCTTGTTTACTGCATGTGCTCCTCTCTTCCCAGGGAACTGCTCTCAAGTGACGCAATGAAAGAATACAACAGGGCTCGGGTCTACCTGGATGAAAACTACAAGTCGCAGGAGCACTTCACGGTGAGTCCTCATCTAGCCATGGTGTGAGCCCCAAGCAAAGTTAGCCTGGGTTTCAGTGGCCTTCCCATCTGAATAAATGAAGAGCTGGCTAGTCTGCTGTCAGTGGCACAGTGCAACTGTCCCGAATTAAAAGGCCACTATGTCCTGCTGCCCAATGGATGATCTGGATCCACAGAGCATGCACAGGGGTCTGGAGTTGCCTCTGTTACTGGCATGTGCCGGCTAAGTAGGGGCCTTTATCCTTGGTGTCGGGGTGTGGGGGCTCTCAGAGAGGCCTGGAAGGTTTTGGACTGCTTGTTGGCAGTTCAAGCCCCGAGTCTCATGGACTCCCTTTAGATTGGATCAGCTGCCCCTCCTTCTTGCCCCTTTGTCTCCCTATGTTACAGTGTCATGCTTGTAACTGCTCACTCCTGTCTGTCAGCGTGTCCCTGCCCAGCCACCATTTGCTGGCGCATGGAGGAATGACCGCGTGTCAGAGCTGGGACAGACTCACATGTACAGGGCCATGGGGTGTGACCTGGGCTTGTTCCTGGACTAAAGATCGCAGACAGGTTTCTGGCTGGGTTTGCAGTGTCTGATATGTCTCATGGCTGAGACCATCTCAGGTTTGCGGTGTGTTGCAGTAGCTGAGGCTTCAGACTTTGCAGCGTCATGCTAGGCGTCTTTGCCATAGCCATGTTTCTCCACGCTCCCATCTTCCCCTGCTCAGGCAGCCCCAGCTCCAACTCCGCTGTGCCATGGAGGCCTGGACACCAAGGCTGGTGTTTGTGCTAAGGACAGGACAGCTCACCACGGCTGCTTCCTCTTCCTCCCTGTGTCCTTTCCTCGCCCTGTTTTTTTTTCCCCTCTCTGGATGCTGTCCTCTTTCAGGGTCCAGCTGTCTAGCTTCAGAAGTGGAACTTATGCAGATGAAAAGGACAAAACCAGGGCTGGGAAGGTGGCTCAGTATTAGAGCTCTTGCCTTGCAAGCCTGAGGCCCTGGGTTTGATTCCTCAGCACCACATAAGCAAAAAGAAAAAAGCCAGAAGTGGTGCTGTGACTCAAGTGGTAGAGCGCTAGCCTTGAGCTGAAGAGCTGAGGGACAGCGCCCAGGCCCAGCGTTCAGGCCCCACGACCGGACCCAAAAAGAAAAAAGAAAAGGACAAAACCTGCAATACAAATAGGTTGGGGTGAATTTCAGACTAGGCATTTCGGAAGACATGATTGGACTGGAAGAGAGCAGTAGGGATGTTCCAATGAACCGGAGAACAGGCCGTGGGCCTCTGAGAGAGCGGGGCTTAGGAGCCACATGTGACCTGACACACCTTTCTGGGGCACTGAATGCTGACCTCTTCACTGCTGTTCAGTGCCCTCCGTGGGTCAGAGGCTTGGGTGCCACCTCCACGTGTCCGGCTGGAGAGAACTGGCAATGTTGAAGGCCACGCGCTGCCAGCCCGGCAGCCCCCTGGCTCCAGAGATTTCTAGATTTAATCTTTGTAAGATTGATGGTATCAGGGCAGTATTTTTAGCTGAGTCTGGTTCAAATAATATGCCATTAAGTGAAAAAGGAAATTGAAGTGGATTTATCTTGTACATAAATGGTGTCATGGCATTAATAGGGATCAAAATATAGTGGCTTAAAGAAAAAAAATCAGTGAGCCATTTCAGAGTCCTGCTGCACAAGGTGTTGGTGAGGTTGTGTGGGTGTGTGAGTGCATGCACACCTTTGTGTATGTATGAAGTGTGTGCAGTCTGCTGCTCCTGTTCGTGAGTCTGGGAGGATCTGCTGTTCCTGTTGATGGGTCTGGGAGGATCTGTTGCTCCTGTTTGTGAGTCTGGGAGGATCTGCTGCTCCTGTTCGTGAGTCTGGGAGGATCTGCTGCTCCTGTTCGTGAGTCTGGGAGGATCTGCTGCTCCTGTTCGTGAGTCTGGGAGGATCTGCTGCTCCTGTTCGTGGGTCTGGGAGGATCTGCTGTTCCTGTTGGTGGGTCTGGGAGGATCTGCTGTTCCTGTTGGTGGGTCTGGGAGGATCTGCTGTTCCTGTTGGTGGGTCTGGGAGGATCTGTTGCTCCTGTTGGTGGGTCTGGGAGGATCTGTTGCTCCTGTTGGTGGGTCTGGGAGGATCTGCTGTTCCTGTTGGTGGGTCTGGGAGGATCTGCTGTTCCTGTTGGTGGGTCTGGGAGGATCTGCTGTTCCTGTTGGTGGGTCTGGGAGGATCTGTTGCTCCTGTTGGTGGGTCTGGGAGGATCTGTTGCTCCTGTTGGTGAGTCTGGGAGGATCTGCTGTTCCTGTTGGTGAGTCTGGGAGGATCTGCTGTTCCTGTTGGTGGGTCTGGGAGGATCTGCTGTTCCTGTTGGTGGGTCTGGGAGGATCTGTTGCTCCTGTTGGTGAGTCTTGGAGGATCTGCTGCTCCTGTTGGTGGGTCTGGGAGGATCTGCTGTTCCTGTTGGTGGGTCTGGGAGGATCTGTTGCTCCTGTTGGTGGGTCTGGGAGGATCTGTTGCTCCTGTTCGTGAGTCTGGGAGGATCTGCTCTTCCTGTTTGTGCGTCTGGGAGGATCTGTTGCTCCTGTTGGTGGGTCTGGGAGGATCTGTTGCTCCTGTTGGTGGGTCTGGGAGGATCTGCTGTTCCTGTTGGTGGGTCTGGGAGGATCTGTTGCTCCTGTTGGTGGGTCTGGGAGGATCTGCTGTTCCTGTTGGTGGGTCTGGGAGGATCTGCTGTTCCTGTTGGTGGGTCTGGGAGGATCTGCTGTTCCTGTTGGTGGGTCTGGGAGGATCTGTTGCTCCTGTTGGTGGGTCTGGGAGGATCTGCTGTTCCTGTTGGTGCGTCTGGGAGGATCTGCTGTTCCTGTTGGTGGGTCTGGGAGGATCTGTTGCTCCTGTTGGTGGGTCTGGGAGGATCTGCTGTTCCTGTTGGTGCGTCTGGGAGGATCTGCTCTTCCTGTTGGTGGGTCTGGGAGGATCTGCTGTTCCTGTTGGTGCGTCTGGGAGGATCTGCTCTTCCTGTTGGTGGGTCTGGGAGGATCTGCTGTTCCTGTTGGTGGGCCTGGGAGGATCTGTTGCTCCTGTTGATGGGTCTGGGAGGATCTGTTGCTCCTGTTGGTGGGTCTGGGAGGATCTGCTGTTCCTGTTGGTGGGTCTGGGAGGATCTGCTGTTCCTGTTGGTGGGTCTGGGAGGATCTGCTGTTCCTGTTGGTAGGTCTAGGAGGATCTGTTGCTCCTGTTGGTGGGTCTGGGGAGTTCTCCGTAGCTCCTGTTGGTGGGTCTGGGGAGTTCTCCACAGCTCCTGTTGCTCGGTCTGGTGTGTGTGGAGGAGGGACTCTTGCTGCCACTGGTGGTAGGGCTCTCCAGGGGCTTGGTGGGAAGAAGCTGGAGGCTTGCAGATGGCAGTAGTTGCCAGGAGATGGCGCCAGTGGAGCACCTGCAGCCCAGATGCTCCCTGCAGGAGCTGCTCCTAAGGGGATTTTTAACTTTAATGGCAACATTAACTTCTGTGTGCTCACAGAACTGTGATGGTTGGCTGTTGATGTAAGCAGAGGCCATAAAGACAGACCTCCTTGGCTGGCCTCCCCGGGCAGCCATGGTCACTCCTTGCCTGCTGAGCTTTTGTGGAAGGTGGTGTCATGTGTCTGGGCCTTTGGCCCTGTTTCCCGTCTGGTATGTAGGGTGTTAGCACTGAGAAGCCTGTTCCTGGGGTTTGAATGTCTCCACGCTATGGGCAGAGACCGGCCCTGGATGTTGTGTGGTCCAATCTGAGCCTCGTGAGGGGCGGAGCCCGGGTGCTGTTCCCACCCTCCAAGTGGACACCGCTGGTGGACAGCCCAGTAGGGCTCTGCTTCACTGTCTCCCCTAGGCTTACACTCATGAGAATGACATTCCAGCTCCTTCCTGCTCTGCCTGGAGCCCGGGCTCGTGCCACACACGTTCTGAACACTCAGAAAGTGTACTTGAGTCGGTGACGGACAGGATCTGAGGCGGAGTGGTGAAGGGCTGACACCATTGCTCTGAGCCCGTGCTCGGAGCTGGAGAGACAGAGGCACACTGGCGTGAGAGCTGCCGAGGGGCAGTGGTACGCCATCTCCACGTGATGAGATGTTTTCTAAGAAAACAAAGTAAAAAGTAGCTACATGGAATAGGGCTGGGAAGGTGGCTGAGTGCTTGCCTCGCATGCATGAGGCCCTGGGTTCGATTTCTGAGCACCACATAAGCAGAAAAAGCCAGAAGTGGCACTGTGGCCCACGTGGTAGAGCGCTAGCCTTGAGCTGAAGAGCTGTGGGACAGCGCTCAGGCCCAGAGTTCAGGCTTCATGACCAGCAACAACAACAACAAAAAGTAACTACATGGTATAAAGGAAGGGAGCCAGGTGGAAGCCAGGTGCCTCCTGACCTCCAGGCCCCACCCTAGCCTTCTGTTGTAGCACTCAGGGAGCAGGGACTGGGCTTCGGTGTGTGTGGAGGTGGGCAGTGCTAGTCGCTTCAGTATCAGGGGCCTCCTGTCCCTGAACCATTGCTGGCAGTATCCTCCAGGAGCTGGAAAGGTCACTGGCGTCCTGGCAGCCTCCTGTGTCTAAATTGCAGTCACACTTTTGTGTTTGCCCCAGAGAGAGTGAGTTTGCTCCTTTCTTAGTCATCAGCAAGTTGGCAGAGGTCCATGTGTATCTGTGGCCAGTGAACCCTGTGGCTGTATCTCTGAGGCCAGTGAACCCTGTGACTGTATCTCTGTGGTCAGTGAACCCTGTGTGTCTGTATCTCTATGGCCAGTGAACCCTGTGGCTGTATCTCTGTGGTCAGTGAACCCTGTGACTGTATCTCTGTGGCCAGTGAACCCTGTGAGACTGTATCTCTGTGGTCAGTGAACCCTGTGGCTGTATCTCTGTGGTCAGTGAACCCTGTGGCTGTATCTCTGTGGTCAGTGAACCCTGTGGCTGTATCTCTGTGGTCAGTGAACCCTGTGACTGTATCTCTGTGGTCAGTGAACCCTGTGACTGTATCTCTGTGGCCAGTGAACCCTGTGACTGTATCTC